AAGGCGCCTGCCTGCTTCCCTCTGAACTGTGGGAAGGACTTGAGAGAGAGAGAGAGGGAGGGAGGGAGGGAGGGAGGAGGGAGGGAGAGTAAAGAGAAATGTTGATTGGCGGGGGGAAAGAGGAATGGGGCTTTAGAGGATTGGAGGGAGGGGGACGTGTGAAAGGCGTTTTTCAACTCCCTGTGAGTTGCTGTTTGTGGAAACGGTCACCGTTTGGCGTGTCCTGTCTCGGACTCCCATCGCTGCTTCTCTTTATTTGGCCCTCTCGCCTCGAAACTCTACAAATTTATCAAACAGACAATGCCAGTCTCCAAGAATTTTACTGTCAAATGACGTCACCTTTTCACTTTCTACCTCTTGCTTTTTTCATGTATAGAAAATAAAGTGAATGAGTAAAAGCATTTCAGATGGAAGGGATGAGCAATTGCCAGGGAAAAAGTGGAAATGAAACAGAGGGCTGCCCCTCTCGCGTAATTTATCGGAGCATATTACTCCATGCATTAGTACTCATACTGTCATTTCACGCTCCAAAGCTGTTTCGTTTTTTATTTGCAGTCTGCTTCTCTCTGTTCTCGTGCGCTTTGCCTTCAACGCCACGCAACTGCTCCTTTGGCTGCTTCTGCCCCTCTCTCTTTTGAAAAAAAAAAAAAAATTGAAAGTGAAAAAGTGGAAGAGGAATAATTGACGGGAGGGGGAGTGGCTGGGGAGAGGAATGGAATCTAGAAAAACGGCATTGAATGCGAGGAGTGTCGAGGGCTTGGGATGATGGTCCCCAGAAAATAAAGCGTTTGCTATATGGTAACCGAACCACATGCTCAAACGTTGGCACGTCCTTTGCTAACTGTTGAGTCGTGAATGAATGAATGAATGGAGTATCCCAACCAGAAAGATGTGTGCGTGTAGGACGAAGCCAATGAGCGAGGTCTTTACCATTTCCATGTCTCGCCCAATCCAGCTTGTCTTGTGCCTTTTTATGGTAATTCCCAACACACGCAAATGCTCTTCATGACCATTTATTTTTCGTCTTTAATGTCACACCTCTTTCTCAAAAAGCTTTCTACTCAACCACTCCCTTTCCCAATCCCCTTCAAAATCCCCACCCCGTTTTTTCGTTCCATGTGAAAAGATGACAACTACAGATCGAACATTAATATTAATAACAATTATATATCCGTGAATTTGAAATCTCAATAACAAATTGTTATTCATGCTTGTAATAAATTATTTTTTAGTGATTGATTTTAAATTCACAACTAATTCTCATAAATTCTAATCAATGTTATAAAAAATTTTAAATATATTTATTTAATTTTTGAATAATTTATCTGTATATTGACAATAAAAAAGAATTTCATAGTTAACTCTCATAAATTCCAAACTAACATTATAAATAATTCAAGGTATTTAATAGGTTTTTCAATTAGCTATTTATATTTTTTTTAATTACAAGTAAGTACCATAGTTTATTATTGAAATTGCAATAATTCACAATCTATAAATATCATTAATATTCTTATGGGATTCCTAATTATTATTTTCCCTTTTCATGTTCGCTGCAAAGTGACATTTACGAACTTTCTGAAAATAATTATTTCAACCAAAGACCATACATTCTTAAATATTCTAAAAAATCATCATGGTACTATTTGGTTGAAATTAAAATTCTTCTAACTTGATTTTTTTTGAATATATAAGTACTCAGATTTAATTGAAAAATTTAAATTCTCTATACTAAAATTTAAAAAGTACTAAAAAAATTAAAGGGCTTTTGCACAGATAACCCATATTATAAGACTAGATAAAAGAAATACCCTATCCTTTCTTAAATTTTAAAAATGACCTTTTTAATATTTAAACCATAATTAATTTACAAAGTTGTCTTTTTAATATTTGTTTTTTTTTCAAATACCAGGAGATTTAAAAACAAAAAAAAATCTCTGGAATGAGAGAGACAAGTGCGAGAGAGGAGAAAGAACTTGACACAAGAGAGACGAACACGAGATAGCAAAATAGTGTGAGTGAGCCATAGTTATAATGGTGAGAGAGAGAGAGAGAGAGAGAGAGAGAGAGAGAGAGAGAAACGCATGGTGAGATATATTGATGGCACTCGACAAAATAGAGCACTCTAGCGGGGAAATGGAGCTATAGATTCATAATTTTTTATTTTATTAGTTTAAGTATTTGATTCTTTATAATAAGCTAAGAGTTTAAAATTTTTTGTGGACTATGTTTAACCTGTTTTGAATAAATGATTATATATTTTTCGTATTATTGATCTGTGATACTATATAATTGATATACGATTGTATATTACTAATAAACAAGTTTATATTTGATTGTCTGGTTATATTGATCTACGATAGTAGAGCAGTGATATACTATTATGGATTACTGATATATAAGCCACGTTAGTAAAAACTTATCAATTTATTTATCATTGAGATACAACCATATATTAATAATGTAGCATCGCAAATCAGTAATAAAATTTTCTCTTTAATATCTAAGGTCCTCTTCATAATATTTGGAAAAAATAAGAGAGAGAGAGAGAGAGAGAGAGAGAGAGAGAGAGAGCTCTGCAATGAAGATGGTAATCCAAACAAATCAAATCAACAATTCTAATAAAAAAATGCTATATGAGAGATGAATATTATGATTCAAAAAAATGAGATCAAAAAATTTGATGAAAAAAATATTTAAAGATGATAAATTAGAAAGAGAGCATATACAGTATGATTTTTGATGATAAAGATAAAAGATCCAATTAGTTAAAAATTATTTAAATCAAATATATTATGTTTTAATAATAAATTTATTCTGAAGATAAAAAAAGAAAAAATGCATTTAATTAATTTTATGAATGAGCTATATTTTAAAATATTCAAGAAGCTCATCTATAATTTATGAAAGTTGTATTTTTTGATGTTATTTAACTAATTCTAACATAAGATTTTTATTTTTAAAAAAAATTTCTAAAAAAAATGTCTGGACTGAAAAAATTTCCAAAATTGAAAATTCTTATCTGTATGCCGTGAAGGTCCTCAAATGTCATCTTCCAATAGAAGTGTGAGCTGGCAAGTTTGGAGCTTTTTCAAAGCCTTGGGTCCATAATTCAAATCTGGACTGGGCCTCAAACTTTTAGGAAATATGGGGCTTATAACAAAGGAAAATTAAGATTTTAAGCAATGAATCCAAGAATCATTTCAAGGACGCATCATGCGACATTGCGACTGGACACTGAATTAATGACACGTTTTTACTAGCCATGCGCATTCCATGCTCTTTGTTTTTGATCTGGAATGCACATTCCGTGTTTGTGAATTCGCGAGAGCGAAAGAAATGTATTGTGGAAAAAAGTTCAGTCCCATTTTAAATTCCCTTTATGTGGGTGCGCCACTAATTTTCTTCTCAAAGTGAGCGAACAATTAGGACGGATAATATCTTGAAGTCTCAAATAAAATGTGAGGTTGGCGTATTCAATTTTGGAGTGATTCAAATGGGCATTATATCCAAAGATGTCAACCTGGTCGTATTGATTGCGGATGGCACTTTGAGATTATTACATTATTTTAGCAAATAATGAAACGTGTAGTGTCCATATTTGCTGGTCTGATTGGCAATTTTCTTCCTAGTGCATCGCATTTGATCAGCTTGATGATGCCCTGGGTCCATGCTTAAACCAGAGTTTCCAATTCTACGATTAATTACAGGCAATGAAGTACGTGATTCCGGAACCAAAACATCAATATAATAACCTTCCCCCCCGGCGCCTCCTGGTTGATCGAAATAGTGAATATCATGTATTCCTCCTTTCTGGGCCAAGATGATGTCTGAGATTTTATGAACAAAGATGATATACGATACAGAATATGCGCCTGACAATTTTCTATGCTGGTGTCCTTGTGCCTCTACTCTTCGCCCTTTTGCATGTACTTGCGGCGAAATTATGAGCTTCTTTGCCACAGTGAACTGGTCAAAGCAGGCTTTGATCCTCTTGTCTTGACATTGAAAAGTTGTTATTATCGAAGCTTCTTACTTTTTCTTTATGGGCTTTCCACCGCTCGAAAAGAAATAATTTATTTCTTTTCTTTCTGTCTTTCTGAATCCCAATCCTCCAAAGGTGACCCTACCATCCCACTCATAAAGACATAATAATAGATTGGGAGTTGCACCCGCACGTGTGAACGTGAACATGCATATAAAGGAAACAATTATGCGTCCGTATATGTATGTACCTGTGCTTCGTGCTTTAATTTTACAATATAATTTTCCCTTGTTAGAGTTTAGACCCATCATAAAAGCTTAATCGCATACAGTTGATCTTTTCTTTATTATTCACGCATGAAGTGTTGGGTTTCCCTCAGTGATTTATAGTTTAGACAACCGTAGCGTAATTACATGTAATTTTCTGCTCGGAAATATATACTGCTACTTTGACCATGTAGCATATGATCACGCATAGCAGTAGCGACATTATTTATTAGTGCAATAAGCTAGTGTTTGTGACAATGGAATACTCTGATACCTCACTTAAATTTTCTGTAATAAACTAATCAAGCATATTTGAGCTTGTGAGTGGAGATTCGTGTCTCACTATCTACGGTCAGACATGGAAGATGCCCCTCTCTCGCCAAACGCCCGCTTCACTATATTTCTCAAAAAACAATCCAAGTCTCCGCTAGAAGGAAGAAAGAAAGAGGAAGAAAATAATTGAAAACTTGAACCACATTATTGCTTTTTACTCTTTTTCCAACCTAAAATGGGGACATGAATCTTCTCAATCGATTTTCCCATTTACCTTTGCTGATTGAAAGCTTCGTAAGGGACCCTCCGCGTATAAATGTGCCTTAATTATATATATAATCTTCTTTTTAATATTCAGAAGGGAGTCGCAATCTTTCAGTCCCCTCACCAAATTATGCCTCATTCCATCGCAATCTTTCAAAGCAAGTTGGCCAACGATATCAGGTGTGGGTCTATGAAATATGGATTCTGTACTGTTATATGAAAAAAGTGCCATGGCATTACTACTAATAATTGTTTACAAGATTAAACATACATCAGAAAGGGAAGCAGCAACAAAGACAGAGAGTCGGAGTCACGGATTCTACAGACCACTTTTGCATAGGAAAGATAATACAAGTTGCACTCTCCAATGGGTCCCTCAGGGGAAGTCTGAGGGACTTCTGATCTAGCACTAGTGGTCAAATTTCTCCCCCTTTACCCTTCTAAGATCATCACTTAATCATAAATTTATTGTGGTGACAGTCTTTGTTATTTATATGGGATGGGTCATGTCTGACAACTTGCCGGAATCGAATTTGCATGGGTCTGCATCAATAAGTCGCTGAACCACCTCTTTCATGGTTGGCCGATTAGCAGGCAACTTGTAGGTGCACTTAATGGCAATTCGAATCACTTGTATAATTTCCTCACTGAATAATCCTGATAATCTCTTGTCTATTATTTCACTAATTCGTTCCTTGCTGTCTACCTTGTTTGAAACCCAGTATACGATATTCCTGTTCTCTCCAAACTCCACCTCCACAGGCTTCTTTCCGGTTATCAGTTCCATCAGAATCACCCCAAAACTGTAGACATCGCACTTGGTTGTTGCTCTCGATGAATATGCATATTCTGTGAGACCCATGAAAACACGTGGAGTCAAATATGCATTGAAAGTAAACGTTATTGATATTATAGGGTCTTTTAATTTAACAGATGTTTTCTTCAAAATGATTTAGGCCAGAGAATTAATTAACTATTACCTGGGGCTAAGTAACCATAGGTTCCTGCAATAACAGTTGTGGTGGAATCTTTGACTCCTCTTGCTTGTAACACCTTGGCGATTCCAAAATCCGCAACCTTGGGCTGATAATGAGCATCCAGGAGGATGTTAGTAGACTTGATGTCTCTGTGAATAATTGGCGGAAGCAAATCGTGGTGGAGGTATGCCAAGCCCTGTGCTATCCCTAGTGCTATCTGATGACGAGTAGGCCAAGTCAAATGGATCCAACTTTTGTGCAGGGCGTCCCAAAGATTACCGTTTGGCATGTACTCATAAACCAACAAGCTGAAGTCAAAGCTCGTGAAGTAGCTGTACAGTTTGACTATGTTCTTGTGCCTTATACTTCCCAAGGTCGCAACCTCATTTTTCAACTCCTTGTCCAGAACCATGCGGTCCTCTTGAGCCGGATCCTTTGATGATCGACTCCATAGCTTCTTCACTGCAATAAGTTCACCGCTCTTCAACTCAATCTTGTACACTGTCCCTGATCCACCGTATCCCACTATATTCTTATCCACCATGGCCTCTATGATCTCCTGCCGATCATAATTTAATTTGTGGAAGCTCTTCAAGTCGCAAGAGAAGAATGAAGAAGATAGTGACTCATCATCTTGTTCCATACTAGCCTTATCTTTGGCAGGCCTACGTCTTATAAACAATACAGCTCCAAATCCAATGATGATCAAAGCTACTGAAATTATTGCACCTACCCATACGACACGTGGCCTTTTTCTGCTGCTATTTTGTGGACACACTTGGAAATTCTGGTCTGATGAGTTAGCATAAATCGGCAACATGCAGACACCAGGATTCCCTGAAAAGCTTTCTAATAACCCTCCTTTCACCATTGAGGAAGGAATTGGGCCAGAAAGCAAGTTGTCTGAGAAATTGATATAGTTGGGTAAGAGTGCAGATAGACTCTCAGAGATGGTCCCACTCAAGAGGTTGTTGGAGAGATCAAGAACGTTGAGGGACTGCAAAAAGGAAAGTGTGCTGGGGATGGAAGAATTTAGCTTGTTTCCTTGCAGCATCAGTGAATTAAGCCTCTTCAGGTTTCCGATTTCAGAAGGTATAGGTCCAGACAGAAGGTTGTAACTAAGATCAATCTTGACCAGATTGGTAGCACGAGAGACCGTAGGAGGTATGAATCCAGAAATCTGGTTCCTCTGTGTGAAAAGCTCTGACAAGTTTCTAGAATTTCCAATGGACTCAGAAATGGAACCAGAAAAATTATTGTAACCCAAATCAATTATTGAAACATGTGGCAAGCCAAAGAGATCCCCAGGAATTGAACCCTGCAAGTGGTTATTACTTACTCTGAACCTTAAAAGAGTGAAGCATTTTGCATAAACGTCTGGTAGCACTCCAGAAAACTGATTATCCAGGACAAGAAAATAGAGCAGTTTACCTCCCTTGCAAACCCCCGTTGGCAATGGACCAGATAGTTGGTTTTCGGACAAGTCTAAAACTACCAATTCAGAGAACTGGCCCAGATTTCTTGGTACGTGACCGCTCAGGAAATTGTCATAAATAGACAATATTCTCAAGGATGTTGAGTTTTCTATCACAGCTGGGATTTCTCCTGTGAGGCTATTGTTGTAAAGCTGTATGACTTCAAGCTTGGGAAGGCGACATATAGATTCTGGGATGTTGCCGGTCAACTTATTGACTGACATATCCAAGTCTTTGAGCTCCATGAGATTTCCTAGCTCCTCAGGTATGACGCCAACAAGACTGTTATAGTAAAGCTCAAGAAATTGCAGATTTTTCAGCATTCCAAGCTCCGGAGGAATATGACCAGTGAGGAAGTTTCCACTCAACTCGAGATCAACAAGAGACGTAAGGTTTCCTATGGACGACGGAATCTGACCTTGCACCATGCACGTCGTGAGCACCATAGACTTGAGATTTTTGAGTTTGTAAATATCCTTGGGAAGCGTCCACAAGTTGAAGCCTTCATTTTCGTTGAAGGTAAGGACCTCGAGACTGGTGAGATTGAACACGGACATGGGAAACTGACCTGTGAAGAGGTTATATGATAAATCCAGAACCTTGAGAGATGTCAGAGGGGAGAAATCAGGAAGCCTTCCAGCATGAAACATGTAACTCATGTTGAGCTCTTCCAAGCGGGAACAGTTGACGATGCTGTCAGGAAAGTTTCCCTTGAGGCGGTTATTGCTGAGACGAAGAACACGTAACTCCGGCAAGAAAGAGCATATATTTTCAGGCAAGTTCCCGGAGAGCGACCAACCGGAAACGTCAAGATTGATGACGTCTCCTTGGCTGTTGCAGGCAACCCCGGTGAAGTTGCACACAGGTCTTCCTCCGGTGACATCCCAACGGAACGGGTAGTGTCCGGAGAAAGACTCCTTCATGAGAGCAAAAAACTCAGACGGATTGGTATCAATACTGAAGACCAGTGGAATACAAGACAAGGGAACAAGAATAAGAAAGAAAATGGTTTTACGATCCATTTTGGGGAAAAGAGGATGAGGAGGAAAGCTGGACAGTCGAGTACAGTGGGTACAGGGTATTCAAGGTTATTAATGTTGCAAGGAAGGGGACGAGTAAGAGGTGTATATATGATGAAATTAGTTGTGTCTCATGAGGTGGGTGAAGGTGAGTGGATCGCTGCCGGGTGAAGCAGAAAAGAGATAGCCTTGGTGACCAAAAAGCAGGCCTTGATGCGTATATGCAAAGAGTTGAAAACACACACACACATATATATCGTAAAGAGGCTTATAAGTTCCCACTGGCTGATCAAATTTATACTCCTACGTACAGGTTGCAGAATAAACAGTACTTCTGACCCGGGACACCACATTATTCACTGACCACGACCTCTTGTTGATCCATTTGTCTGTAATCCTTCAACCAGGTCCAGTCCGTGGGCAATGGGCATGCATGTCGATGGTCTGTGTATTTTTCCGTTGGATTCCTTTCAGTCAAAACCTGCAATTAGATACTAATTATGAGAATGCGATTTCGCCGACGGGTATAAATTAAAACGAACAAATACCGTTTCAGTGATCTTAATTGAACCGAGTTTCATTCAGAATAATTACTTTGTTCGTTGCTTCAGCAAAGGTTTGGATGCACTTGAAAATGGGTGTCCCTGTGTTGTACGCAACACTTAACGTCTCATTTAGTTATTTGAGGTTACTTTAACCCCAACGGAATTTAACTAAAAAATTCCTCATCAGCTTGGTTTGATCAAACCTGGAAAAGCTTGTGATCATCACGTGTAAATTAAAACCATAATATAATCAAGAATTATTTACTAATCGGAAAATTATCGAGTGAGTTTAAAAAAGTAAATCCTTCATTGCCGAAAGCTAACTTGGGTGATTTTAGAACCAACCTCCCACCTAGATTGATTATATAAGCGAATGGGTAACTTCCTTTTTGCTTTTCACGGATTCCGGATGACCCCGTTACTGTTTCTCTATAGGAAATTGAAAAGGTTTCAAGCTTTAATTATTCCGTAACGATTTTAGGTAAGTGAAATTTTAGCAGTGACATACATTTTCCAAGGAATAAATGTTCGTTGCGTACTAGAATTTCTTTCATCCCTCACAGCCTTCACAATTTTGACACGTTGAATATAAATTTAAATGGCCATGTTAAAAAGTTCAGATGTCCGTAACAGTTAGGTAAATTTATATACCTGATATTTAATATTGACAAAATTAATAAACTTTATATTTATTAAAAAATATTAATTACAATCTTGAAATTATAATATATATATATATATATATAACTTTTCAATTTTACACTTCTTTATAATTACTATTAATAATATAATAAATTATTGCTTAAAATTTTAAATGACAATAAATAAAATGGGGGCAAAATTGAAAAAACATATTAATCATTTTAAATGTGCCTTATATTTAGGGCAAAAAAAGGTTTAAACTTCGTCTTATATTAGGGACTATAGCAGTATAGTCACATCATGAAAATTTTAATGAATACTTGTATATATAGTTGATTATTTAATAATCAATTCCTTGTGTAATTAGCCGGTGAGCATGTTTCATTCTGTTATACAAATTCTGAGTTTTATAATAGTTAGCAGATATTATGAAAAATAGATAAACAGGTCCTGATATAAGGTTTGAACAAAACAAGCATTTGTATAGTTTAGTTTAAGTAGAAATAAAGATAGCCAGGTTGTGGGAGAAAAGGACATAACATGGCGGAACATATACACTCATAAAGTTTAATGGCTTCATGTGAGATATAGTTACATCTCATTTATGCCCTGCTTGCCACTATTCCCTACTTGCTCCTCCCATTAATTAAAGATAAAAAGAAAACTTGTAATTTACTAGTTGAAATCTTATATTCTTAAAATATTCACATCTTTTCACCTACATCCTCATTTATATAAGAGTATTGATAATAGTAATTAAAATTTTAATGCATGATTTTTTTCAAAAAGAATAATAAACAAAATAAGAATATAGTTGAAAAAATAATTATAAGAATTATTCAATACTCTATATTTTAGACCAAGTAAATTTTTTGAAGATATTTTATATTGTGGTTGACATCAAGCCAAAAATAATGATAAAAGAAGAAAAGATTTTTATTGGCCTGGGTGGATTTTACTGTAGATTCCACTGGCTTTTGCTTTTTTTTCAAAACACCAATATTCAACTGGACATCAGCAATGGAACCAGCTAAGATTCGATTGGGTCACAGATAATTCGGAATTGAAACGAGAATATATATGTGTTCGATATGTAAAAGCAAAAGGCAGCAAAGGTGACATTGAACCACCATAGAGGCATAGACTCGCATGAACATAGACAGGCCAATTCTACGCTTCCATTATCAATACGAATCTGATCTCTACAATACTGTACGTCTACACGTGGACTAGGCAAAATTCCTTTTCCCGCTTGCATTACTTTAGTTCTTGTTTTATTTTTTTTTTTTGGATTAACTCCCGTGTGAAAGATATATATATATATATATATAACGTTATGGGCATTCAGTTGGGGGGGACCATTTTCATTATAGTTCAAAGTAATTGCATGGTTACCATATGTTGATGTCTGTATAAATAGTTGGTAAAAGCTCATGCATTATCCTCAGAATAATATATATGATAATATCAGCCGCAAAAGCCCTGATTACATCTCCCTCAGCACATAAGGGAAAAGGAAAAGAGTTTTGTTTGTATGTCATATGAGCAAGTGGTGTGGAGATGAACGATGTTACCATTAACTAAACAAGTCCTCTTTTCCGCTAACCCTTTTAAGGCTTGTTCAATATTTTCCCACTACAGAAGTTTAGGGTTTGAAAAAGAGCAAGTTATAGAGAGAGGATTTTTTTGTTGGTTAACCAAAAGGTGAATAAATGACTACGTTGATTCATGTGATATGGATCTAAATTGGAAGCCAACCCATATGCGCGCAAAAGGACAGTATTGTGTTGACTAACGAGAATTCCATACCCGAAAACCGATTAAAGATCCACCGTTTACATTAATCATGACAAATTTGGGAGAAATTAGCAATTAGCGTGGAGGATTACACTAGAAATGAAGAATTTGGTAAGCCCCCAGGCAGAATCGGACAGCTGGGAGAGTTTGTGAGAGCCCAAAAAGAAAAGAAAGGTGGGGAGTCCAACCTGTGATGAGTGCTCAATGGTGGAAGCGCAAAGCAAAGATGCCCACTCACTCACTCTCCTTTCCAAAAGTTATTTATTTTATCTACACAAAATTCTGATCTGCGATCATACCTTTTTTATTCTCTACCCCCACAAGTTCCTTGGCACTTGTCATATAATCTGTGGAAACCCCGAAATTCCTTCGCTTTATTCTCGATAGCATCATCATGCTTTTGCTTCATATTAATCTAATCAGTTTAAACACCACAATGCCAGTCTCTGTAAACTGAACACCCATGAATTGGATGCAAACCAGAAGATCTACGGAGGCCGCATGGCAAAACAAGTAGAATAAATGATGTAGGATTCCTCTCCTGCCCAATCAGCCCATAACTTGATGAGCACTTCGGCCCAATGCAAACTTCGGCCTGTCCAGAGTTTTTCTTTACTGGTACAACCGCTCCAGAGTCCAAGTCACCTTCAATAATTTCTTTTACTCACTTCGAAGGGGGCAAAAAAAAAAAAACAGTCAAAGTTTGACCGACAAGGAATCAAAACATTATTAGTTGCGGGCTCTTCTTTCTCTGCCTCATTGACTGGAATAGAATTGCGATACGACTATTCCCAGGAACCACAAAGGATGCAATGGGCGGGAACAATTCGATCAAGGTTGAGACTAAAAGAGGCATTCATAATATGTAATCAAATAAGCGGAATACTATTGCAGATTTGAGGAAACATTTACTTCACACGTGTTCTTGGACAGTTATCTTCGTCCTTGCCCAGTCACAAGTCATCCCATTAGTGTCTGGATTGGCTAAAATTCTTCTAAACTGATAGATAAAAGCTGAGTTTGTTAATTACCAATTAAACACAATATGTACTACCCCAATTGAAAGCTCGTTTTGTAATGTAACAAGCCTCCTTACAGCTTCTCCCGAAGAGAGGAGTCAAACAAGGGGATGCTAACCTAATTCCTCTATTGGAAACTGCTTCTTCTTATTGCAAGTCACACATGCATACATAATCTCTAGCTAAATAATTCACAAGAGTTCCTTCTTAGTACTGCCTGCAAAATTTGCATTTGCATTTCTGTCAAGTAGGGAGGTGATTTCTCTGGTAATCCAAAACAGAAGACTCTCAAGTGTTTCATTTGAGCTTAGGTGTGTGAGTATCCTGCATTACCTTTTCAGAGCCGTCTTTGCTAATGAGAATTCCAACCAATTTACAAGGTTCAGCATCCTCAAGCATTTGAACCACACTTCTCATGGTAGGCCTCAAAGCTGGAAGCCTTGTAGTGCACAGAATCGCTATTCTCAACATCTTCACAGCTTCTTCTTTATACATATCTGGTATTTCACAGTCCACCACGCTCATTATGCTCTCTTGGCTCTGCATCTTGCTGCACACCCAGCTCACTATGTCCTTGTTTTCCCCGTACTCTGCTTCTATTGGCTTTTTCCCCGTTATTAGCTCCATCAATACCACTCCAAAGCTGTACACGTCACTTTTCTCGTTCACTTTATATGTGTATGCATATTCTGCATCGGACATTTAAACATCAAATTTAAAAACAGAAACGTGATAACGAGCTCGAATATGAAAATGATGGATGGGGACTTACCGGGAGCAATATATCCATGTGTTCCTGCAATGACTTGCGTGGAATCCTGGCCAATATTGGGCTGAACAATCTTGGCAAGTCCAAAATCAGCAATCCTGGGCTTCATAAACTCATCCAATAAAATGTTACTAGATTTAACGTCCCTGTGAATCACTGGCCTTACACACCCATGATGCAAGTACTCTAATCCCTTGGCAGCTCCAACTGCAATTTCATACCTTTTTTCCCAGTCCAGTTCCATCTTCCCACTTGTGTGAAGCCGATCCCATAAGCTTCCATTTGGAAGATATTCATAAACCAGCAAGCTAGAATCCTCGCTTGTAATGCTACAGTAAAGCTTCACGACGTTCACATGTCTTATGGAGCTCAGCGTCTGCACCTCTGCATCGAATTCCTTGGACTTGGACTTGCCGTCTAGCTTCACGATCATCGGAGTACTAGTCCGGCTCTTCCTCCAGCCAGCGGAATCCATATTCCA